AGTTTTCAGATTCAAATTTCCTGAAACAAACTGATTTGAAAACTATAACAATCAAAAAAGAGGTAGAAAAAATTACTGTTATCACCTCCCTCTCTTCTCCCAGCTATTCTAGAACTTTGTATTTCTGGTTTCTGAAGCCTCGGGATACAAATTACCTTTTTGAAATGGAGGGACTTTACATTTATATCTCTGTAGGAAAACTCAGTTGTCTTTGTGCTTTGCTGAATGAAAAAAAGTTTCGACCTGTGAAATAGCTGCCGTTTAAGAACGCACATTCAGATGACCACATCCATGGCGGCTGATGCCAGGGGACGGGGTTCCATACATGTGGAGGACGCTTGGAGCGCTGCTGCACACTGACATGTATAATTACACACAAATAGATGGTTTCCAGAATTCTACAACTGGGAGTTTTTGATGCCCAGTATTTAAGAAAAGCTTACTTTTAGGGGCAAGTGGTTTATAGCACTCAATATCCCATTCTACTCTTGGTCTCTATGTTTTGACTTAGCGACTTAATTTTGTCGTAGTTAGTCCCTATAGCTTTGCCTGTCTTATTTTTAATGTTTCAGCTTACCTAGAAATGTTGACCTTTATTCATTTGTTTGTGCCCACTAACTTCAAAGGGTCAGAATGGACAAAAGAAATACCAGATCAATCTAAAGAGTCATTCAGGACCTATCCACGTGCTGCTTATAAATAAAGAGTCCAGCTCCTCTAAGCCAGTGGTTTTTCCTGTTCCCCCACCTGATGACCTCACACAGCCTTCCTCTCAGCCCTCGACTCCAGTGCCTCCACAGAAATCCAACATGGCAACTCAGAACCTGCCTGAGCAACATGTCTCCGAAAGAAGCCAGAATCTTCAGCAGACTCCAGCCACAGACTTATCTTCAGGTGGGTTCAGAGCCTTTGTTTTAAAAAGTAGAGGGGAAAATATGAATACTGTGTTGAACAAGTTGGAGAGCTCTTCTGAATTTCTCAATTGTGATGTTATTTTATTATCTAGTATAGGAGGCAAAATAGTAAACCTGATCAACAAGTATTAATTTTGTGTCTTCTGTGTGCCCAGCACTGGAATATGTATTATGAGGAAAATTTAAAAAACAGATCCTGTCTTTAATTATACTACTACTAGTTGTTTCATAGACTGTGTAAATATATATATTTGCAGTTTTCCTTAGGATTCCATTTTTGGAATTAAACCAGATTTGTTCCCCCACCCCCCTTTTACTATTTACATGTCAGCTTTTTATCTGAGATTTACTTTGTAAGGTTCTTTTATCTCTTAGTAACTCTAGTATATATAATTGAAGTTTGTTCTATGTTTAATAAAAATCATACTAGGGACAACTATAGTGACTTATGTCTCCTGTTTCTCTGTATTCTCTATTATTATACTTTTTATTTGGAAAGCTTAGTTTTATAGAGTTGATAAGTGGTCTCAACTCCAATTATTTAGGAAATCTTGCCTTCCTAAGTTATTTGATCTGTGAAATGATAAATAGCTAAAAACTGGGCATCAGGAATAGGGGCCACATTTCTTAAATTTGTAAAATTTCCTCAGCATCCAGTCCTTTCCCTTGGTTATTACATGGCTAGGTATTTACCAACTCCTTAGTGGTTGCAAATAAAGGACCCATGGTTGCTGAATGAATGACTGCCATGCAATCTAGACGTAGTATTGCAGATAATTTAAAATAACTATATTGTATATATTCCAATTTGTTTATTTTTACCTTTATCCTTTTGGGATGTGGTCTACTCTTTGAGTTCACAATAGGTAAGAGTGAGGCTAAAAAGATCTAACTGGACACAGAATATTTTTCAGCTTCTTGTTGCCCATATCCTTCCCCTCTTAAGTATTTCCACACCATAGGCCATAGGGATGCACAACAGAAAGTGTCATCTTTCAAAAGCTTATAATCAAATTGGGAAGAATAAAGTAGGCAGGCTTATGGTTTAGCTCAGACACAATTAGTACATTGGCCTTCACAAAGCATTAAAGAAACTTTTGAGCATTTCATTTCTGTACATGATTTTGTATTTGGAAATAGTAAAGAAAACAATTTGGGGCCAGATTAGAGAGGGCCTTGAATATCAGACTGAGTTAGGACTTTGACCTATAAACCAATGAAGATTTGTGACCAGGGAAGTGGCACGTTTAGAACTGTATACTGGTGAACACAGAAGTAACGTCATTAGGGAAGAAGACACTTCTGGCCCTGGGAAGAAGGCATTAGAGGCAATGAAGACAGAAGATAAGATGTGTGCAGTTATGCGACTGTGAGAGAATATTGAGGCTAAAATGGGGTGATGACAATGGGACTGGAAAGAGAAATAAGGAAGATTTGAGAAATACTCTTTAGGCAAAATAAGTAACCTTTGATGTGTGAGATATGAAGATAAAGTTAACAGGAGGACTGTAAAGTGATGTTGCACTTTTAAGGTTGAGTCATAGGGAGAATTATGATAACACTGACTTTAAAAACTGAGGAGTCAGTTTTGGGAAAACAATGAGTTTTTGGGGCTACATCTTGAGTTCAGAAGTTTAAAAGTAATGCCAGGTACAGATTAGTTGTCATGAAAATTCTGTTTCCATAAAGTTCTAGTACTTTAATTTCGTACTTTTTTTTTTTTTTTTTTTTTTGGTACACGGGCCTCTCCCTTTTTTGGCCTCTCCCGTTTCGGGGCACAGGCTCCGGACGTGCAGGCTCAGCGGCCATGGCTCACGGGCCCAGCCGCTCCGTGGCATGTGGGATCTTCCCGGACCGGGGCACGAACCCGTGTCTCCTGCATCGGCAGGCAGACTCTCAACCACTGCGCCACCAGGGAAGCCCTAATTTCATACTTTTAATCAAGATGCTGATGTTAAATATAACTGTGCTTAATATATACTGTTTAAATATATGCTGTTTAAATGTAACTGCCTTTTTGCTGTTAAAATATATAAAGAGAAGTGTAAAAAAAGCTTTATCACATTTCTTTTTCCAGCGGGATCTATTAGTGGAGATATCATTGATGAGTTAATGTCTTCTGATGGTAAGTAGTTAAAAAATTTAATAAATATAGCCTTATACATCAATAATGCTTTTCTAGAATTTATGAGTGGCACATGATTTAAAAGAAATGAAGAACCTATATTTTTTAACTGCTTAATGTACTATGATGATTCATAGTAAGTTATAGGCATCCTTCAGATTTTTTTGCCTGCATTTTGAGGAAAAAGAATTCATAAGGGGATACTCATCATTTTTACTGAATAAAGTTCTAAATTGTTGGCATACTAGCCCTTTTTACACCTGAAGAATTTGGCCAAGAAGAGTAAAACAGTGTATCTGAGTCAACAGGAAATCTGAAAACAGTTTTGTAAATACTCCTACCATGGCCAACTTCAAGCTGCCAATGTGAAGTCAGTATTACTAAGATTAGCCACATCATCGTCTAATCTGAAGTAATTCTTAAAAATCAACTAGCTATCCCTGGTGGTGCAGTGGTTGAGAGTCCACCTGCCGATGCAGGGGACACAGGTTCGTGCCCCTATCCGGGAAGATCCCACATGCCGTGGAGCGACTAGGCCCGTGAGCCATGGACGCTGAGCCTGTGCGTCCGGAGCCTGTGCTCCACAACGGGAGAGGCCACAACAGTGAGAGGCCCACGTACCGCAAAAAAAAAAAAATCAACTAGCTACAATATGGTAGTTACTTTAACAATTACTCTCTGGGCCTCACCTTTCTAAAAGTTCTTGGATTCAGAGTCCTGGTTCCTAACAAATATGTATAGCCGAGACCTAGGAAGTAGCAGCTGTTAAATTAGCCAATGGCACAGTAACCACTTAGACATTTATCAAACACTTCTGTAAAAGCAGAGAATTTCAGCATATTTATTAATTTATGTCTAGTTCCTTTCTCTGTTTTCGAAGTGGTAGCTTATTTAGCAGATCAGAGAAAATACTTTGAGCAGTGTTTCTGAATCATAAATTTTAGTGACAAGTTCAACCAATAAAAACTAACTTGTTTCTCAAGCTAACACCTATAATCAATGCATAAAATGTCTTTAAGAAAGAATCTTTCAAAATATACACAAAATATGTCATTAATTTGATCATTACATTTCCTATTACATATTTTTTAAAAATTGCTGTATAACATGGGAAACATAATTTGGCTTGATGTTTTTGATAGTATTTTATGTTAGACATCATTACCTGTATGTAGAAACCATCTTTAACACTGAATTTATTTTTTGCTTGCAGTGTTTCCGCTTTTACGGCTTTCTCCGACCCCGGCAGATGACTACAACTTTAATTTAGATGATAATGAAGGAGTTTGTGATCTGTTTGATGTCCAGATACTAAATTATTAGATTCCATGGAAACCTGGGACTGTTATCTACCTCTAACTGTGTAACATTTTAGACGTCTTAACCTAAGTATTTAAAATAATGAATGTAACATCTTTTTAGTTCACTGATTCTGAAATGTTCTTCCCTAATACTTTCTTTTTTACTTCACAAAACTTCAACCATAAGAACAAAGGATTCTGATTGCTTCAGGGGAAAAAGTGATTTCATGTCTACCAACTCCCTACCCTCAAGTAATTACATTCTGGAATTTCAACTTTTCCTCCCATTCTGAACCTTCTGTTTTTTTCCTTATATGCGAAGAAAGTTAAAGTAGACTTAAGGTCATCAAAAACAAAAAATTTGGCCAAGGGCTCATCATTTGTTTGTCTTACATTTTTACTGCCACGAGACTGTCCATATTTCTGTGTATCCTCCGATCCAGACATTCACTGCCACTTATAAAGTGAAGGGTGTAAACTAGGATATATTAACTGTTTCAGTGAACAGATTTTGTGAAGTGCCTTCTGTTTTAGCACTTTAAGTTTATCACATTTTGTTGACTTCTGACATTCCACTTTCCTAGGTTATAGGAAAGATCTGTTTATGTAGTTTGTTTTTAAAATGTGCCAATGCCTGTACATTAACAAGATTTTTAAAAATAAAATTGTATAAAACATTTAATTTATTGGTCTTTTTGGAGAATTTGATGCATCACCAGTGTATTACAACTGAGCCATTAATCTTGTAGCTTCATCAACATTAACTGGTTCGTTTTCATGACACTGCTGAGGAATCTGGAGAGAAAATTACATTTAAAAATTCAGATGACAATAGCAAACAAAAATGACATAATCTACTGACATATCTATTATTCAATATAATTTCTTCTAGTTGTACTTTTGGAAATAGAACAATAAATTCCCATATTTTAGACTCAATGTTTTAAAGTCTGAATAAGCTATACATACTACAGAGCCAAATACTAAAAATTACAATCAATACAGGCTTTGAAAATTTGCAGTTTATTAGCCAGAACAAAAGGAAGTGATTTCCACTCACCAGCTGTTTCTGCAGAGGTTCAAGAGAAAGGCCTTTTACGAACTGTACAAGTACCTTTTGCATATCTACAAAAGCTTTATTCACGCTGTTAACTTTTTCATCATTCATGATGTTTATCTTTTAAAAAAAGAAAAAGAGCATTAATCCATGATCTCACAACCATTAAGGATAAAAATATAGGCAACCTTAATTTAATCTTGTTACCCCCCAAACCTATAAACTCTTATCAATCCTACCAATTTATGGAGACAATTTACACTAAAATTCTTAGTCTTATTGGGACATTTTAGACAAAAGGTTCTGTTTTTTAAAAAATACGAATTATGTGGATATACCTCATACCTTGACTTTCCTGGAATAAGCAGGCCAAAATATGTGACCACTATCTTTCTAAGCTACGGTGCTATCGTCTCTCATCTGTAAAATGAGGAACCTGGATAGCATGCTTCCAGTGTCCTTCTAACAGTACGTCTCTGAATCCTTCCTTGATAGAAGTGCCTGGCAGTCTCCTGAGGACAGCGGCCCCTGTAGCTGTCCTCGCTTGAATCTGAAAGGTGGGGGTGGTATTCTTGTTCTTCACAGCTGCTCCCCAACCATTTCTCCTTCAAAACTTTTGGCTCTTTTGCATCTTATACATCAGGACATTCTGACACCCCTCTCCTCATTACTGTCACCTATCAACACCATGATTACTTGCTCCTTCGTGAAAGATCTCAAACCATGGCTCACTGACCCCTCTCACGCCTGGCGTCGCTGTTTAGTGGCTACAACAAAAACCTATCCTATGGCTTCTTAATCTCTTCAGGTCCTCATCTCCAGGGGTCTTTTCCACGACCTACCTTGCCATCACTCCCATGCATTACCTTAGGCTGCATCGTTACCTGTTACCGCACCACCTCCTATCCTTCTATTCACTTAATTTTATTAATAATTCTTAAATCTCACTGAAATCTTTTCCCACCAAATTCACTATTGTTCACATTTTCATACCCCCACTTATTCCTTTAGCCTGCACAGATTCCATGACCACTAATCAGTCACTCCTTCACACCCTAACTCTACTTCTCTTCTCTCCCTCAATCAGACTTGCCTGGTAACCTAGTTAAACTCAAGTATCAGCCTTTTGGAGCCCAAAACCGAAGCTCTAGAAAATCATAGCTGGCTGACTGGCTTCACTTTAAGTTCATGGCCACCAACTTCAATTTACCATTTATATAGTACCTGGTGATTGTACGACCTCCCCCTAAGGCTGCTTTCTCAGAAAAGTGTTCGATACTTTCTCCAACCAGGCTGTCTACCCACAGATCTTTTCCATTAGCATCCATAAAGCTTCTAGGACTTCCTATCCAAACAAAATAATTTTCCTCAAATATACCAAGCCTTCACCCAGCTGGGGGTCTTTGCACTCACTATACTTTCTGCCTAGAACATGCTGCTCCCAACACTTCCCAGCAGTTTGCATCACTGGCTCCTATCAGGCAGGTCTTGGCTTCAATGTCAACCCTGAAGACAGTTCTATCTAAGACTGTCACCCCCAAACCCCAGTCATATCACCCAGCTTTATTCCTTTTTAGCATTTCCAAAGTCATGAAATTGCTCCACCAAAAAGTTTAACTCAGCTAGTTCATGAAGACTGAAAGATAAAATGTTACATTTCTATGGACCATTATGATAATTACTAAGTCCTCTAGAGGTGATTCCACCTATTACTTAAGCTTGAAAACATTTTCTTGAATAATCTTCTTAAGGAGTCTACTTAATCTTGAAGAAATTTCCCATTCCCCAAATATTTTGAAATAAAGTAACTCCTTTCTTTTCAAATTTTGTATTTTAAGAAACAAAATATTTTATCTTCTATTTTTAGGTTTTTATCTGAGTTCTAGATATCTTCAGAGAAATAAGAATTACTGAGGAGAAAAAGAATGGGTGTTGACTGACATTCCATGTCTTGACTCTGTTGAAAGCTTCTTGAATATATGAGTTTAGAGATAACTTTTCCATACCATGTTTTTTTATGATTTCTATGCTCTGAGAAAACTATTAAAACTGTTACTTGGAGCCTCATACATTTGCAGTTAAAATGCTTTCTTCTTTTTGCACATTTGAATTCAAGAAAGGGAGGTTATTTTTCTTCATCTTTTTTTCTTTTTTAAAACAAATGTTTAAAATCATCATGCTTTTGTAGGAAAGGCTAAGAACCTGTTTTAAATATTAGCATTCAGTTTTTCAGTAGCTTTACAATTATGCTTTGCTTGTAAACAATAAAGTCAGAGTGCATAAGTGATACTAACCTTCTTCAGATTAGTGGTAACTGGTTTTGCTTTATTTTTAACCTTGAAGCTTTTTTGGCTGGCTATGTGGAATACATTCCTGGACTTCTGTCCTCTTAGTTTGTTCTTGGCCATTGTCTAGGAAAGAAAGAAAAGGAGCTCAATTAAGTTGCCCATGTTCATGAACTGTAAAGCAATTTCAGTTTTTGGAAGTAAAGGTACCAATTAAATCTAAGAAGTTCCACCTTCTGATTATTTTTAAAATTGCTGCTTGTATAAAAATTATCTCCATGTCCTTTTGGTCCTACTAGATTTTTCTGTTTCAGTGCAGAGTGTGTAGCTAATTCTTTTCTGCATCTCCAGCACCTGACCCATAAGAGGCTCCACATTAGTTTCTGCCAGTTAGATTAATTAATATTCTCAACACAACAATTGTTTTTTTTCAGCTCTCTGCAGCATCTGACAATGCTAACCATCACCATCCATCCTTCTGCTAGTTTACATACTGCTATTCCATTCCAGTTCCTTTCATACTCTAGGACTGACTCCCTTCTCCCTCCTTCTTTCATTCCTTTTTACTTGCCCCATTTTCACTCCTGTGTGCACCTCCTCAAAACCAGTACTTAATCTTACACCTCCTAACCCCCACGTTAAATTACTTTCATGACTTCCACATCACCTCTATGTGAATGGTTCTTGCCTAAAAACTGTAGCTATTATCTTTGTTTTAAAGCTAAACACACTAAGCCTATAAATTCTACTTGAGAAACATCTCTCAAACCTGTCTTTAACAATGCACGTGAGGAACAATTTAAAAAATATTAGTAGTTAAGATTTATTAAGCTTTTACTACATGTACAGCACTATGCTAACATTTTATGTGTTTTAACTAATTTACTCCTTACAACAACACTTTGTAGGAGGTACTATTTTATCCTCATTTTACAGATTTAAAAAAAAAAATCTGATGCAAAGAGAAGCTAATCTGCCCATTGTTGCACTATTAGTAGTCAGAGAATGCCAAGATTCAAAGCCAAGCAGACTAGATCCTGAGCTCTCATTATGTGATGTGGTCTCTCATATATAAATAAAAATGCAGTACAAAAACATGATTTAGTACTGCCTAGTTCAGGACTGGGTTACTGCTTTAGTCCCTAGGACTATTTGGTTAGACTCTGGGTTGGGACAAACTATACCCATGGACCAAATCAGGTCAGGAACCTGTCTTTGTAAATGACGTTTTATTAGAACGCAGCTATGTCCATTCAATTATGTATGTTTTGTCTGTGGCTGCTTTCCTGCGACAACTGTGACTCGCAAAGCCTAAATATTTACTATTTGGCCCTTTACGGAAAGACTGTCAACCCCTGGCTTAAGCCACATGCATTCAAGTCTATCCTGTGTAGCGGTATGAAATGAACCGTCCCAATGTTAAAATCCTTCAGTGGCTCCTCCAACCCACAAGGAGCAATATTCTTTGTCCTGACATATTGCTGGAAACCTGACTCTAGCATAAATCTGTCAAAGGTATCTCCTGCTATTTCTCTATACCGACTCTAGTCTACTAATTACTCTCTGAAGACACCTTGCACATTCTTCCCTTCTTCCCTTTGCTCACATTGTATCTCCCCTCCTTCAATGTCTAGCCTCAGGAACAACAGAGACAGCAATGCTTCCGAACCCCAACAGAACTCCTTCTAAAAAAAAATAAATAAATAAACACAGAAAATACATGATTATTATAGAAGCAGAAAATACACATAAACCACCCCCAAATTAAATAATCTAAAATCCTTCCAATAAGTAACCAAAATCCAACCATTCGTCTAGTATTCATTAATCAATTACTATGTACCAAGTGTGGTACAGAACCTATATACATACATATAAAACATATACAAACACAAGAAACATAAAGATAGGTGATGTAACTGACAGCATACGAGTGGAGTCACAAAAAGGAAACATCCAATACAGTTGGGGACTTGAGGAAGGTTCGTGGAGAAGGTGAGAGCCTAGCTGGGGGGGTAGTGGGATAGGGATTTTCTCTAACAACCACGTGGAAACTGGTGACAACATAACAACCCAAAACTGGTACCCTGCCGTGGGCTGAAGGCCCAGCAGGCATGGGGGTTTCAGGCCTGAGCCAGCAGGCCTGCGGCCGAGTAGGGCTGCCTAAGGCAGCAAGCGACGACGGAACGGAGCCTCCAGACGGCAGCAGCCCGCGGACGACCAATCCTGTCTCAACCCTCGGAAACTCCACGCCAGCGAGCCGGAAAATTTTTTAATTAATCTCTCACCAGTCCTCCGATACCCTCGTGTAGGGGTTTAAGCTCCAGGTAACGCCATCTGCACCCGCAGGATCCAGGAAGTTCCGGAATGAGGGAGCCAGTCAAGGGTCCGCTCTCAGGTCGTAGTTTCCGCCCACCGAGATAAGCTCCGCCCACAGGGCGGAGACCTGCCCCGTGAGCTTGGTCTGCAGACGGAGATAAGCCCCGCCCATCGAGCGTCATTCCGCCCACCGAGCGTCGTTCCGCTCACTGGCTGGTTTCCCACCCACCTAACGTAGCCCTGCCCACAGAACCGTCTCAGCTGTGGAGCACCCTTCCCTAAACACAGGACCCTCACTGTTAACATGCCTTGCCGTTCGCTGGGTTAAGAACCTCTACTCAGCTGAGGCGTCGAAGACGCGGCAAAGTCTGGAGTTCCTCGCAGGGGTATGTGTACAGAAACCACCCGAAGTGTCTGAGTCACCAGAGCCACACAGACTGTAACACAGGTGTTCGGCTCTCAGCCGCTTACTGCTGGCTGGCTCTGTCCGCGCTCCCAGGAGGTGGCGCTGCGCACCTCTGGGTGGCGTCCCGGGTTTGGTTGGAGCAACAAAGAACCTAATGTCTGGAACAGATCTAGAACTATAATTTCCCAAGGGAAATTTTGTAGTGAGCCAAAAGTTGAAATGCTTTTCTCATTGAAGTTTCCTTGCTTCAAAATGAGAATTTCTGACAGCACAGCAGAGGCACAAGAAAATATCAATAAGTTGTAAAACAAGAATCAGGGAACTTTACAAAATCTTAGAAGAAACATTTTTGCCTTCCAGTTTTATGTCTGTGTGTGTATATTTCCCAGTTAAGGTGTTCTGGGTTGAGTTTTCTAGAAAATCGAATCACTTCTTCCAAGACGATCTTTCCACTGAGGTAACAGTTTTCACATGTTCTCTCCTTATTTTGTTACAGTCTTAGGGAAAGCTAGCTTTTAAACAAATGTAGAAGTACTGACATTTTTGTATCATTTTTGTAACGGTACATGAGTTCTGCTCTAAATATCAAAATAAGGCCAAAGTACCATTCCCCTTTTGCAAGTGAGAATGCTGAGGCTCAGAGTCTAAGCCATTTTCGGTATCCACACAACTAGTAATTGACAAAGCCAAACTAGAATCCACGTGGGCTGGCCGTCGGTCAAGTCCTCTTCCCGCCAAATCAGCCACTTGCCTGCTTATAGAAAGATGAACCACTTTTACAGTAAATCACTTTATTGTTTATGTCCATCACAAAAAATTAGGGAATACGTTAAGGAATGAGGAATAATTACTTGTCAATGTAATTTTATTAAAATTCTGTATTTTTTCTAAAGAGTGACTTTTAAAAACACCTTAAAATGCATTATAAAATGCCCATAATGTGTGGTGGCAAGACCAAAGTAACATCAAAGCGACAGAAAACCATTAGATTCTTTCACAAGGCCAGTTATCCAGGAATACTGAAGCTAAAAGGTGAATATAATTATGGTTCCTTGAATGTGAAGTTATTGATGTATATGCAGAAGACAAAGAAATAGATGCAATGGAATGACATTATAGTCTTTATGAAAACTTACGGGCCTAGCTTTCATTTGGAAATGGTGAGATAGAGATACTTACACCATGGAAATAACATGGTTATACAGGCAAGGGCAGAGGCACTGTATGAGGTATGAGTGAGAAGGCATGATTTCTGTTTACTTCTGTTACCTACCAACAGTGTGACTGTGGAAAAGTTACTTCATTTCTCTGTGCCTCCCTTTCCCATATGTAGATGGCCGCTCAGTAACTACCCACTTCAGAGAACATTCATTATCTGCTCAGCGTTCCTCTCTGGGGAACCACTCTTCTCCCATTAAGTGATCCTGGTTGAATGAATAATTACAGTCCTCGTCTGAAGATTTTCCAGCCAGAGCTAGTGGAGACACTTCTTGCTTTTAGTATCCTTGTGCTGGGATGATGTGAAATTGAGGCTGCTAGTTTTCGTCTCCTCCAGCAACTTGAGGGAAGCCTGACTGCAGTGGGAGAGAATAAGAGCAATGCAAAAGAACACAGAGCTGAACAACAGAACACAGGACCTTGGTGATATCATTGGAGTCCTTGGATTCAGCTATAGATGGAAGAAAGATCCATCCCTGTCTTCTCAGTTATCTGAATGAAAACATTGCTTTTTTTTTTTATTGGGTTATTTACTTTTTTGTTGGTTTTTTTTTTTTTTTGTGTGGACCATTTTTTAAGTCTTTATTGAATTTATTACAATATTGCTTCTGTTTTATGTTTTGGTTTTTTGGCTGCGAGGCCTGTAGGATCTTAATTCCCCAACCAGGGATCAAACCTACACCCCCTGCATTGGAAGGCAAAGTCCTAACCACTGGACTGCCAGGGAAGTCCCTGTTGGGTTATTTATTTATTTTTAGGTATGCGGGCCTCTCACTGTTGTGGCCTCTCCCACTGCAGAGCACAGGCTCCGGACGCACAGGCTCAGCGGCCACGGCTCACGGGCCTAGCCGCTCTGTGGCATGTGGGATCTTCCCGGACCGGGGCACGAACCCGCGTCCCCTGCATCAGCAGGCGGACTCTCAACCACTGTGCCACCAGGGAAGCCCCGTGTTGGGTTATTTTTTTTAACCACTTGTACCTTGAAGAGTCTTAACTCTACTCCTGTTCAGCCTACTTCACAGGATTTTGTACAGAGTTAGTGAAATACAAAACATGAAAGCATAAGGTATTACTAAGACAAAAGAAGGAAGCACGTAATTTTCTAAAAGACGTTTTTCTAATTCTCTATGAACCAAATAGCTTCAAGATTTCTAATCTTTAAAAATTCATCCCAATCTCATACTTCCAGTTTTTCTAAAAACCTTAAAGATGAATAAAATCATAAATAAAGAAACATTTTTTTGGAAACCTTAGCTTTCCTGTTGAGACTCAGCAATGCGGAGTCCTTTATACAGCTTCAGTCCTCAAAGAACGGTCTTGGAAGCAATTCAACAAGTTAACAAATATAATTAGGGAGAAGAAAATGAGAGCCCACAAAAATAATTACAAATCATCTGCAACAAAACTCATAGCCCTCTCCCAGAACAAAGCCAGCATTGTGTAGATGATGCTCCATGATAGACTTGTTTCATTCATCAACCTTACTTGCCCCACTACTCAGTTTCATTCAACTGAAATAGTTTGAACACCTAGGCTCTGTGAGGCCTCCAGGGAAGTACTTTCTTGTAAAGAGGACAGTCATTTGAGATAGACGTATTCATATGAAATGATCATTTTTGACAGAAAGTGGTAAGGACTATGATAAATGCACAAAAATGAGCTATTGATGGAAGGAAATAATTCAGAATTCTGGAAACATTCATGTTAAAAGTTCTCATCTGATTGTCTTAGAGAAGAAATCGGCAAACTACAGCCTACAGGCCAGATTCAGCCCGCTGCTTATTTTTGTACAGCCCGTGAGCTACGAATGGTTTTACATTTTAAAATGGAGGAAAAACATCAAAATAGGGACAATATGTTGCAACACATGAACATTTTATTAAATTCACATTTCAGTGTCAGTAAGCACAGTTTCATTGGAGCACAGCCACACTCATTCACATACTATTTATGGCGGCTTTCACGCTACAACAGCAGAGTTGAGTAGTTGAGACAGAGACCACATAGCCTACAAAACCTAAAATATTTACTACCTGGCCATTTACCAACTTAATACTTTAAAAAACTTTACCAACTCATCTTAGAGGATGAGCAGCATGGTGGTATAATTGGTCGAAGTATTCGTGTTTTAAACTCAAAGCAGTAGGAGGCTTAAAAGGATGAAACCACTTTTCCTCCCAGTATTCTAAGGTAGCTAAACCTTTACAAAATGAGTTTGAGTTTCCTTGCCTCTAATGGTTATTGATGATTTTTATGTTTCTAGGCTGAAAATGGAAGTTTCCAGGTATAAAGGCATTCCCACTTGAGTCTTCCTTAGGGAATGGAAAAAGGAAATAACCTAATGCTTGGGGAAAAGATGAGCTTCTGGAGACCAAGGAAATGGTTGGGGAGAAAGTGGTGAGGGTTTTTCTGCAAGTGATTGAGACTTAAGACCCTGTGGCACATGCCACCATGGCCTGGGGAGTAGTAGCATAAGATCCCTACACCAGCAAATGTCACAGAATGGATGGAGCTTTCTGCCTTCAAGTGAAATGTGGATTTTGATATTAAGCATTACAGCAGCCATTGTGATGAACTGAAAACTAGAGAAAGTTTTTCTTTTCTGTGTGCAGGGTAAGCTACCCGCTTCCCATATACTTGAGACTGAGATGAAATTTTTATGCCAAATTAAAGAGTGAAAATTTGGAGCCAGATTTAATTTGATTTAAAACTTTAAGTTTTATGGTATTTCTGTTATGCATACATTCAAGAATGTGTGTTATGATATTTCTTACACTCAAGAATTTTAACAGGCAAAAGTGGAGCTATAAAGCCTTATAGGAATAGAGCATGACACGAGCAAGCCAGAGACCCAGAAATGGACATGCTATGCTTGTAGGAGTGGGAGAGGTCCAATGTGGATGGAGGAGTGGGGGTGTGGAGATGCTGTTGAAGATGAGGCTGGTAAGATGAGCTAATGAAGGACCTTGACAACCAGGAAAGGTTTATTTTTTTTACTTTAGAAGAGTTTCAAACTTACAGAAAAATCACAAAAATAATACAAGTTGTTTTTTTCTGAACCATTTGAGAGTAAGTTACTGACAAGAGGTCCCTTTACCCCACGTATGTTAGTGTGTATTTCCTACAAATAAGGATATTCTCCCACATAACAATACAGCCATCAAAAATCAGGACATGAACACTGATTCCTTCTACTTCACAGTCACCAAACTGTCAATTATCCCTGTAATGTCTTTTATAGTAAAAGGATCCTATTCAGGATAAAGTGTTAC